ACATATATTGAAATTTAAACGTATTAAATTTAAATAAAAATTCAGTTCCTCAGTCACAGTAAGTACATTTCAAATGCCCAATAGCCACATGTGGTTAGCAGCTACTATACTGGAGTGCAGACAAAACATTTTCATTACTGCAGGAGGTTCTATTGTATAGCACATTGGCCTAGAAAAGACACTGATGACCACACAACTACAGTAAATGTGCTAATTATTTTTACTACTCATCTTGGTATTTAAGCCAGTGTGACTTTGTGATTTTATTTAACATTCTCCTAAGCAGATGGAAAACTCTTTGAGGCCAGAGGACATTTTCTTTCATGTGCCCTAATGTGCTTTACTCATTGAAAGCATTTAATGAATAAGAAATGTAATTTTCCATTTGCCATGGAAAACTTTTTCACAGATGGGTTCTCAGGATTAGCTTAGAATTTTAAAAATTGATACAGAATAGATGTATATATTTTGGGGGTACATGTGATATTCATTCATGTAATGCGTGAAGATCAGATCAGCGTAACTGGGCTATCCATTACCTTAAAAATACGTCTTTATGCTAGGAACATTCAACTTATTTTCTAGCTATTTTGAAATGTACATTGTTAACTATAGTCAGCCTACGGACCTGCCAAACACTAGGTTTTATTTTTTCTAGGTACCTATATATTTGTACCCATTAGCTTAGAATTTTATATCCTGTTGGGCCCCAGGGGATGCTACATATTTAACCCTGACTAGTGTTAATATTTGTCCCAGATACCTTTCTTCAGTGCCTTGTTGGTAGGAAGTATAAGACAGGGGTCCTCAGGTTTTGGCTACACATGGGAATCACTTGGAGAGCTTTAAAAAGTACTGAGGCCTGATTTAGTTGGTCTGGGGTGTGATGTGGGCATTGAGATTTTAAAAACCTCTCATATGATTCTAATAGGAAGTCAAAGTTGAGATACACCAGAATAAATTAGACCTTTAACCCTCACCTTTAATTTTGCTTAATAGCTACAAGTCAATGTTTACAGTACATTTAAATTTCACCTTTTATACTAATCAGTAATCCTTTTTTTCCTTGCAGTTTCTTATCTCAGTTATCACTATGGTGCTTCTGACGCTGATGACTGTCACACTGGATCCTCCTCAGAAACTACCGGACTTATTTTCTGTATTGGTGTGTTTTGTATCTTGCTTGAACTTCTTGTTCTTCTTGGTATACTTTAACATTATAATCATGTGGGATTCCAAAAGTGGAAGAAATCAGAAGAAAATCAGCTAGCTGTATTCCTAAACAAATTGTTTCCTGAACAAATGTGAAAATATGAACAGTGCTGAAAGGTTTTGTGAACTTTTTGCTATGTATAAATGAAATTACCATTTTGAGAACCATGGAACCATAGGAAATGAAATGGTGAAAAGTCATTGTTGTCTACACAAAATAAATGTATATGGAGACCAAAGACCAATGGAGGCTTGTCTAAGTACTGCTTGGCCAAAACATATTGTGGTTTTATTATTCACAGCTATTCAAATGGGGAAAAAAGAGAAACATGTCCTTAATCCCATTGTTTACTCAGGAAATGCACTTTTTAAATGTCTTGAAAAAACTGAGAAATATTTCTTGGTATTTGCTTTGTCTAAACCTGCTTCCTTCATCAGACCATATAGTGAGCTTAATGGAAGAATTGAGCCCCTTCTTTTTAATGGAAATCACTAATTTTGGTATTCAAATTTACATTTTAGAATACAAGTAGTGTGTATTTCACTGTGTAGAAGTTATGTCTTAGGGAATTTAATTTGTGATAATCTTTTTAATTACTGAGAAGGCAATTTAAACTGCTTGAAGTCTGAATATGCCTTATTACACATGCAAATTTGATTGTTTTAACAAGGCAAATAAACCATGATCTTATTTGCAAGAATGCATATTTTAATACAATTAAAAATGAATTTTCCTGAATTTAAATGTAAGTTTTAACTTTAAGTGGTTTGAGTGAAGTCTTCTTAATCACACATAATCACTGGTTTTAAACCTCCAGAATCGTTCTGTTTAAACATTATATTATACATATATATTATTATGAGATGGTTCAAGGTTACCACTGCCAGAGCATTGATTCATGTTAATTCTATCCTATTAATACTGTATCACCCTATATTAGCAGAAGCCCATATTTATTATAGTTTTCAACTGGTAAAAATAATGCATGATATCCATGTTGTAGTTTCTCATATAAAGATATGTTTTCTTTAGTCTCTGTAATAAAGATAATCATTTTCCCATCAACATTTTTTAAGGAATATATTTCTTTCAGAAGATAGCCATTAAACTATATTAAGTGGTGGTATATTTTAAAATAGTGCAAATCAAACCACATACAGAAAAATACTGGTTCTAGACATGGACAGTCACAGGCTGGTGTAAGAAGGTATAAGTTTCTAAATCTGATAAAGGAAGTGGGTTTAGACAAAGCAAAAATCTAGAAAGGTTTCTTTCTCAAAAGACTCAAAGGGCAGGTCAGCGCAGAATAGCAGCCTTGAATCACTGCCGAATCAGCAGGAACATCGTTGTCCACGGTCACCATCTGTAATCACTGTGCCCAAATGTCAGCATCTTGGCTGGCTAGTGTAGCTTTATTTTAAAAAATGTTTTTTGTAATAGTACACTTGTGTTTAACATAGAATGTTGACTTAGATAAATGATGAGGAAGTTATAAATAATTGGAGTAGAATAACTATTATTAGGAAATAAAAGTATTACGTATATATATTAGTAAAATGAAATGCACCTGATTCAAGGTATCATACAGGTAAATTCTGTAAATAAAACCATTCTTCAGATGATTTAATCTTAATCATATTGATTTGCACACTATATTTTTATAGAGACTTGTAGCAGTTATCTTACAAGTATCCCTCCGATCTATTAAAAACCAGTTTAAGAGTTTACATTGAACTTAGAGGGATTAGGTTCCAAAATACCAAAACAAAATACCAAAACCAGAGGCCAGGCACAGTGGTCTCTATTTGAGAGGCTGACACAGGATGATCGCTTGAGACCAGTGAGATACCATCTCAAAAAAAGCAAAATATCAAAAATATCCAGTGATGAATTACGATCACAGAAGTAGGCAACTCCAAAGCATTGCTCTTAGCTAGACTCAAGGCTATAGGGATGTTTTCATATAAATATATTTAGGTTATGCAAAAATATTAAAGATAGATTTCTCACCTGCTTCACTAATATACCTGTCAAAAAATAAGCCCTTCAAAGTCACGTTCAAGTACATTTTAGATAGAGGAGGCACTTCTGAGAAATGCAGTGTTCTCAGCTGCCAATAAACTTAGGCCTGCTTCTTAAAATGAAGAGAATAGGGTGTATGTGCATGTATCATATATGAGGCATACAGAAGTCATTTTCCCTTGAGGACTTAGGGAGGAGTGAAAAATCCCCGATGTAGCATTCTGTCCAAATGATAAACCACAACAAATTGAGTGAAACATTTACAAAAGTCAAGGCAGCCAAAGGAGCCTCTCTGTTCAACAGAAAGAAAGAGACGGATAGGATATAACTAAATAATGGTTAAAGTAACACAGTGGTTTCCAAGTCTCAATTGGTCTCTCTTCTGTTATGTTCATTGGAAGATCAGGGCCAAGTATATCCCCCACAACTTCCCCCTCCCCTCATATAAACATTAGTTTTGTGTGGGGATCTTTCTGCTTTGTCCTTCATGTGGCCTCCAAGGGTGATAAAGTGAGAGTCATCTGATCTACAATGAAAAGAACTGGGAAATGATTCTCAGCAGACCCAGCTGTTCTAAAAGGCAAAAGCTTAGTATATCAAGGGGTCAAACATACAGTAACTGGTTTAATAGCATTAAGCACATACCTATATAACTTGGATTATATATGAAACCAATCTACTTCTTAACCCTGTATTAGCTAACATAGATTACTTTATAAAATGTTTTGGCTTACAACCTAAGGTTAGTTTTCAATGCTAGAATAATCCTTTTTTAGTGTACTTTTGGTAACATCCTATTATAAGCACTGTATCAGAATAAATTTCTTAAACAGTATGAAGAAAATAATTTTTTCTTATAAATTCTTCAATTATATAAATGAAGGTAATTTATATAATTTATATTAAGTTTTTAAAAACCTTTCATTATAAAAAGGTGAATCTAAAATTTCTCTAAGTGGAAAGTGAGTTATTTTCTTTTTTTCTGAGATAGGTGTCTTGCTATATTGCCCAGTCTGGTCATAAACTCCTGGGCTCAAGCGATCCTCCTGTTTCAGCCTGCTGAGTAGTAGCTGGGATTAAAGGCTTGTGCCATTGCATGCAGTGGAAAATTTTCAACCTTAATTTGTTAACATTTTGTTTCAGATTTTCATGTAGTTTTAATTTTTCATGATATATTCAAATGACATGGTAATATTTTCTACTAATTTTGTTAAAACTTAGGGCAAGTACCTCAAAGGAGTAGCAGTTTTTCCCTACAGAAATGGTCAAGAAAAGCATAAGTTTCACTATCAAGATAACATACTCTGTGACTCCCTCCTCCCCTTTATTTTGGGAGTGACAACAAAAACATGATGATGACAGAAAACACCACAGAATAACTGAAATTTAATATTTCAAAATAATTTGGAATGGATCACATATTGCTCCTTAATAATGGTCTTTTCTTTAAATTCAGTACTCTGTGTAGTTTAGTTCAAAAAACTTCATAAACATTTATACTGAAAAAATACATTCTAATATTTTATAAATGGTATAAAATTTTAAAATGTTGAAATTGTTTTTTTCCTCTAAAAGCATAGGAAAATAAAAACTCACTCCTGAGGTAGTGGCTACACAATAGACTAGATAAATCTTAAAAAAATTTTTTTTAAAGAATCTGTAAGTTAATAAGCAGCTAGGGCTTTAAATGGGAACACTGGTACTTAATTCCACTTACCATTACATTTAATCTGAATTTCAGGAAAATATATAATTCTACCAAAGGTGCCACTTTTATACATGCTTTATTAAGTCTACCCATGAATGCTAAAAGTCCACAGAAGTGTATGTGGTACAGAATATAAGTCAAGATCTTCCTCTCCATGCTGGCTCACATTAAAGAGTCAAGAAGAAATGTATTATTTACATTGAGATTATCTACTGGTGTGTGTAGAAAGTTTAAATTAGCTGCAAGAAATTTTATCTAGACATGCACCTGCTGACTGCTACGAGCTGGTATTTACTGGGCAGATTAATTACAAATATTTCTCTGTTCCTTTAAATATGATCAGGCAGATGCAAAAGTTGGTGCTCATGGTGAGTGCATTTCTTCTTAATGCCTGTGGGATATAAAAGATAATTATATTATCAAGAATTAGTTAACATGCACCTCATACATGACTTAAGAAGTGATTTTAATACCCATTAACAATCTAATTTGGTACCTAGTTTAGTTAGATGCTGCTGGCAACCTCTCATTTGCTTTTGCTTTATTTTTTATTTTGTGAGACGGAATCTCACTCTCACCCAGGCTGGAGTGCAGTGGCGTGGTCTCGGCTCACTGCAAACTCTGTCTCCCGGGTTCAAGTGATTCTCCCACTTCAGGCTCCTGAGTAGCTGGGACTACAGGTGTGTGCCAATACACCCGGCTAATTTTTGTATTTTTAGTAGAGACGGGGTTTCACTATGTTGGCCAGGCTGGTCTTGAACTCCTGACCTCGTGATCTGCCCACCTCGGCCTCCCAAAGTGCTGGGATTACAGGCATGAGCCACCGTGCCCGGCCTCATTTGCTTTTTGACTATCTTCACTAGTAACTGTCAATATGACTACTCAGACATAGCACTCAGTATTGTTCACCTTATGTGACCATACTTACAGGAGATACATCTCAGAGAATTTTAAAACTCCAACAGGGCCTACGGAAAACTTATTTACATGCCTTTGTCTATAAGCTTTATGGGCCTTTCAGCAGGTGTTTCCTCCAACAGCTGCCCCCTGCCCAAAAGACAGTATTTACTGTGACAGATTCCGATTCAGAATATGTCTCTCTGGGGACTCCTAGTGGTGGCAGAGGCTCATGTCTCTTCAGCCTTAGAACCCCTCTGTGAGAGAAAGCCTTTGAAGGAAGCAGCCATTGGCAACTGATGGCATACATTACCATAGGGCATGTGGGGAAAGATCTTTAAAAATGACCTAATAAGGCTGGGGGTGCTGGCTCATGCCTGAAATCCTAGGCCAAGGCAGAAGGATTGCCTGAGCCCAGGAAGTCAAGGATGCAGTGAGCTATGACTGCACCACTGCACTCCAGCCAGGGTGACAGAATGAGACCCTGTCTTGAAAAAACAAAAACAAACAAACAAACTGAAAATGCCATCCTGAGGTGATCTATGTCTGCTGTGAATTCCCGTAACACTGCTTATTCTTCATTTGGTACTTACAGTAGAGAATAATGTTTATACTTCTCAGTCTGAAGGGGAAGAAACTTCTGTCAACTCTTCCTCTGTACTCCATGGAAGTGTGAAAAATTTGATTGGTCCAAGTCTAGAACATTCACTGGTCTACATTTTACTCGTAACATTACACAAATTCTTCCCTCCTTGTAGTTTCCCTATCTATTCTCAATCCCAGTGGACCTTTTTTATTATCATACTTCCTAATTTCATGTAGTAGGGAAACCAACCCATTCTATTGTGCTGACCTGCAATCAAGCATGTAAAAGGCAGGCTTGTGGTCTTCACAGCATTAGAGTCACATAGACTTGGGGGTCTGTTTAAAAGATCCAGCTTTTAGGTTCAGTAAAGTGCACAGAATTCAAGATTTAGACCTAGTGTGAGAAAGAAGAGGTTGCATTTCTGCTTTAAGGCAATCTACCTTAGTTACCCCAAGCTTCTACCAGAGAGCCTGCCATGTCGAGGGTTATCAAGTTGATACTTGGATCCTCACTGGATGCACAATCCTTGTTTGTACTTGTTATTGGTCAGAACTTAGAAGAGTCTGAACTTGTATCATTTATCATAACTTGCCTTATATTGTTTTTGTGTCCTTATTAGGTTTCAAACTGTCATAATACACAGCGCTTTGTTCATACTAAGCCTCATCTTTGTGTTACCCAAGTAATTCATACACATTGTTACTAAAGTATCCTAATATCCCCTGTTAACATTAGCCAAAATGTTTTTCTCTTCCCATCTTTTGATGGTCTTAGCACTCTGACTGTGGCCTCTGGGTTGCTGTCACCCTTACTTTCTCTCTTATTCTAGCATCGTTTCACTTCTTAAAGGCTCTGGGAGTGAATTTGTATGGGACAGTCCTCCCCACTGAACCATTACAGGTCAAGAGGAATAATCACTGAAGTGTAACAGAGGGCTGGAGCTGGAGCTGTGGTGCAGGTAGGGAAGTTGGTCACAGTGATATCAGGAGTACTAGGTGTCAAGTTTCTAGGGCATAAGGACAAAATCAGGAGTTTCATTCACATTCTCCTTTATGCATACCAGTCAGGCAGCTATGACAAATATACAAAAGAGCAATGAGGAGAATATGGGGGAGAGGGATTTGGGGAAGCTTATGCAGAAGATGAATTCTAAGGTTTTGAAAGACGGGTAAAATTTTGACAATAATGAGGGAAAAGGCACGCTAGGCTGAGCAGACAAGACTAAAGGTCTTGAGAAAGGCACTTTCTGGGGAAGGTGTCTGGGAAATGGCAAGTAATCTGGAATGAGTAAGGCACAATGAAGAAACTGGAAAGGTAAGCTGTGGGCAGATCAGGGAGACTCCTGAATGTCAGTTTAAATTTGGATTTTATCATACATGTGGTGGAGTGATATCTTCTAAAGCATACATTTTTTTCAGTAGCAGGATAGGCTGTAGGGGAAAGGGACCAAAGGGCAGACAGGTAGGTTACAATAGGGACAATGATAATCTGGAAGAGTTCCACACTAGTGGGTGTGGAAAGTAGAATTAACCATTCTCAGAAGTAATATAATCTGGCAGCATTTGGATGTGGGAACAGAGAGAGAGAATTTGACCAATGGAATGATATAATCCCTAAAAAGGTAGAAGAAAAAACAACTTTGAAGGAGAAATGATGAAATCAGTATACTTGGGGGACACTGTATGGCAGCTGAGATTGTGGGTTTATAGCCTAGGAGACTATAATAATTTGGAAACCATATACACTAAGGTGAAAACTCAGGGAATGAAGGAGATAATGAAGGAAATGCTCAAAGTGAGAAGAAAACGTGGTAAAAGGCAGAACTGAGGGAAATGCCTCAAAGGTGAAGTCACTTAATTTCACTGTCATTTCTCTCTTGCTTCTCAATGAAAGGGAAGTTGACTGGTAGCTCAACCTTAATTCTTCCCAGTTTCTTAAAAGTATTACTCAAAGACTCAAAAGAACACCCCAAAATGTGGTTATCTTTACTAAAATCCATTAACACAAAGCTATTCTCGGTACTCTGAATTCCCTATAAGTTTATTACAGACTATCAAACACTAAATGTTGCACGTTCATTTACTAAATGTGTAACTGTGAAGATGTATCTATGATCACCATCTAATATGTTCTCTGTTGGATTTCATGGGTCAGAAATTTTATAAAATGTTAACCTTATAATGAATGAATATAGGTGTATGTGGATGGATATATATGAAATACATATATATCCCATTACATATAGGACAAATAAGGATAATATTTATATATGATCCTTACTTAACAGGATATAAAATCCTTGGCCAGTAGTGAAACCTGACATTCACAGATTACTACTGGGTAGTGGCAAGAGCATAGGCTCTGGCACCAGACTACTCGGTTTAGTATCCTGGCCCTGTTTTAGGTGATTCTGGGACAAGGTACTTAACCTTGTTTGTGCCTCAATTGCCTCACCTATAAAATAAAAGTAGTAACTGTATCTACCTCATAAGTTGTTGTGAAGATTAAATGGAATATGTATAAAGTGTTTATAACACTGCTGGCACATACAAAGTACTCAATAAGGCTGGGCACAGTGGCTCACGCCTGTAATTGCAGCACTTTGGGAGGCTGAGGCAGGCGAATCACTTAGGGTTAGGAGTTCAAGACCAGCCTGGCCAACATGGTGAAACCCCATCTCTAATAAAAATACAAACAATTAGCTGGGCATGGTGGTGCTCACCTGTAATCCCAGCTACTCGGAAGGCTGGGGCAGGAGAATCACTTGAATCCAGGAGGTGGAGGTTGCAGTAAGCCGAGATCGTGCCACTGCACTCCAGCCTGAGTGACAGAGCAAGACTCCATTTCAAAAAAACAAACAAAAAAACCAGAAAGTACTCAATAAATACTAGCTATTATTATAAGCTATTACTCACTGCAAACAGAATATAAGCTATTGTTTACTGCATACAATAGAATAAACGTTTTCATAAAAAACTGACTATTTTCTATATAAGATGCGTTGCAAATATTAAGACTAGCTTGTCAGGAAGCTAATATTAACACTTGAGATACCATTTCCAAAGAAAAGTATCTTGGAGATAGAACATAATTCTTTAATTGTGCTTTGATTTTTTTCCCTAAGAGAGAGCAGGCAACACATCTGGTAAGCTAACAATTCTTTTTTTTTTTTTGAGACAGGGTCTCGCTCTGTCACCCAGGCTAGAGTGCAGCAATCATGGCTCACTACAGCCTCTACCACGTGGGCTCACGTGATCTTCCCAACTCAGCCTCCTGAGTAGCTGGGACTACAGACATGCGCCACCATACCTAGCTAATTTTTCTATTCTGGGCTTAAGCGATCCTATCACCTTGACCTCTCACAGTGCTGGGATTACAGGCATGAATCACCATGCCTAGCCCCTAATGCCAGTTTTTGTTGTTTTTTCCCTGAGACAGAGTTTCACTCAGTTGCGCAGGCTAGAGTGCAGTGGCATGATCTCAGCTCACTGCAACCTCCGCCTCCTGGGTTCAAGCGATTCTCCTGCCTCAGCCTCCCGAGTAGCTGGGATTCAGGCACAAGTCACCACGCCCGGCTAATTTCTTATATTTTTAGTAGAGACGGGGGTTTCACTATGTTGGCCAGGCTGGTCTTGAACTCCTGACCTCGGGAAATCCACCCACCTCGGCCTCCCAAAGTGCTGGGATTACAGGTGTGAGCCACCATGCCCAGCCCATGTCAGTTCTTAATATAAACCTTCAGTTACAGGTACGCTAAACACTAATATATCATGACTTATATTGCTTTTAGCTTATTTGTTACAATAAGCTATTTATAAATGTATAATTTTTACTTGTATTGCTGCATCAATAGGAATTGCTCTGAAGGCAAGGTGTAACTAATTAATATATAATTATTTACTTAATTTAGTACATTTCCTAATTTAACAGACTAGTTATATCTTGTTCAGTCAGATGTGTCCTACAGAAACTGTAATCTACTTGTTAGCATCTATTTAGCTATTTATATGAAATATGACTAAGGACCCTTAACTCCGTTAAAAATGTGTCCTCTCTGACTTTTAAAGTTAGCCTTGTCAGCTCAACAGTTCTTTCCCAGTCAGCCTCTAACTGATGTTAGACTGCCCTCCTGTTGTTTATAAGACTAGGTTAATATAATTTCAACTAAAGCTCCAATGCTCATATCCCTATTTTCTTATAGGAAGACAATACCAAATCTGATAATGTAAATAAAATGTTTCCACCTGAACAAAACACAGTGAAATTTCACAAGGTTAAACTAAATTAGAAAGGTGAAACAGTACCTCAGTTTAAAATGGCTTTAAGGAATTCATAGCTGTCAAGATGACATGATTCTAAATGAAAGAAGAAAGTTTTTTTTTCCTTCAGAAAACAATTCAAAGCAACTTGCCACAGTATATGATGCAGAATAAATGTTGAAGCAAAATGAAATTAAAACAACCTAAAGTCTTGTTTTACACTAAAAATAGCAGCTCTGAGGCTATAAATTCTCACTGCAACATCCGACAGTTAGCCTGATTCTATTTCAGAATATACCTTTTCAAATTTATTATGAAAACTTCCAGGACATTTATTACAATACATGCTTATTACCATTGTTAGTATACTCTTTATGGTTACTAAAATGACTTGTTATTTGTGCTAGATTCTATACTCCTGAGGGCAGGACTATGTCTGCCTTGTTTGTCAGTGTGTCCCCAATGCTAGAATAATGCCTGGAGCATGGTAGGCATGCAATAAACGTTAATGAGATAAGAAAATAGCAATTTATAAGTATTTGAAAATACTTAAGATAATTCTTTTAAAAAAGTTCTTTTCATTCATCACACATTGGCTGCACTGCATGTGGAACTTCTATCCAGGCTTTATCCAGGCGCTGTGCTAGGCTCTGGGACTACAGTACATAGATAAGACTTTTTGTTTGTTTACCAAAGAGGAGCCCAGAAAGAGTCCTGTAACCAGACAATTGCAATGCACTACAACATGATACATTTAAAATATTCAGACAAGTGTTGTGGGAGCCTAGAAGATGAAGCAATTTAGCTTTACCTAGGAGAGCTGGGGAGAGCTTCACAGAGGTTGTGACATCTGAGGCTGACCTTAAAGGACGAGTAGGAGTTTGCTAGACAGAGAAAAAAGCAATCTAGGTAGAGGGAAAGGTAGCAAAGTGTTCTGGAGTCCTGAAAGAGAGGTTCCAGAGGGCTGAAGCACTTGCTGTGAATAGTATGAATAAAAATAACTACGCTCCTTGCATCTGAGGTCTGAGCTGGAGGAAAAATCACCTAATATATAATAATTACTAAGTCCTGCTTTTAACTATATAACTAGTTATATAATACTATAAACATTTGCTTTATTGTGTTTCAAATATGTAAACCACTTAGATAATTTATCTAACTCTTTTTTTGTGGAGCGTTTTGGACTACTCTGAGAGTTGAAAATGGGAAAAAAAGTTCACCTGTCAGGTGACACAAAACCAATTTCTACTAAATGTGCCAGAATAATTTTTCTCCACTTCAAGAACAGTCTTCAGTCTATTCATTACTGTCTTTTTATAGTATTTTTATTTAATAAAACCTATTAAGACTACCATACAAATCTCTTTACTTATGCTTTTATCTTTTAACTGATCAATTTTTATATTGCTGACATCCCTTCTTCACCATTTGCTCATTTAAAAATTCATAGTATGTGAGATATGTCTCTGGGGAAAATGTCTATAAAATTTGTTACAGCTGGCAAATGTGTATGAGTCAGTGATAGCACATGACTAAATGCTTCACAGAAAATAAAATTTGTTTCTGTAGTAAGCAGAACTGTTTAAATGTTATTTATTTTTATGTTTCAAAGAAAATATATTGTGAAGTGCTGCATTGATTTAATACGCAACAATGTCTGTGTACACGCTGTAGAAGGAAAATTTATGAAACCTTTGCACAACTCCTTTAATTGAATTTTCCAAATCTCTCACCACACACAAATAATCAATATCTTCTGCAGAGAAAACCAGTCAGAATTATTATAGTCTTTCTTTTCAATTTTGTTGTCATCAGCACATACAGAGCACCTGGATATTTGTAATGTCTGATAGCAAGTTATTTACACCTTTTAAACACCTAATTGCTATTAAGTGAGTCCAAATCTATAGTTTAAAATTTTTTCTACTGATTTTATTTGAAAGAAAAATTATCATACTTCTGTTAAAGTATAAAAAATTTAAATCATGAAAGAAGTTATTTAAAAGGCTATGAAAAGTAATAAACCTGTTTATTTTTACTTAAATCCTAGACAAATCTCAAGTATGCATTTTTAGCAGGTGAAATGCATACCCCAAAACAAAGACAAATCGTGTAAAACAAGAGCATTAACATTATTAATAGGAAAGGTTATGACTCACATATGGCATACATGATAGCTGAATCATTATAAAGAGCTGAGGACTATAGTTGTACATTAATGTATATTTGTGCTATCAAAATTAATGGCTCCATTTTTTATCTCCAGATAAATCCAGAATGTTAAAGCATAGGGGGAATTTCTGTTGTTTCTCCTAAAAGTCGTCATGTCTAAACTTCAAACCTCAGTGCTTTTAAAATTGAAGTATCTGTTTGAAAAAAATACATTGTTTAATGTTAAGATAAAATAGAAAACTAAAAGGGTACTAGTCTTCTGGGAGTGAAATTATTCAGCTGATATGATGAATACTTTTTCAAGCCTGAGTGGGGGAAAGAACAACATATTTTTATGTTTAAAAAATACTTCAGTGGGTGGTTAGAATGAAGAGGCAGTATCAAACTATTTTATAGTGTTACAACAGAAAGACTTTTAAATTTGTCCTGTTGTCTAAGAATTTGATAACCTTAAAATCCTATAACCAAGATGAATTTTACTATGTAAGAATACAGAAAATTAACTAAAGAAAACAGGAACATTGCAGATTATGCTTTTTAAAACAGACCAAAGTTGGAAATTCTGAAATATTTTCTATTACAAACAGCTGAAACATTGAACAATGTAAAGTTCAGATGGTTCCATTTCATTTAAAATATGCATACTGCAACCTACACAATTATTCTCAAAACAGATAAAATATGTTTTGGACTGAAGCTAAGTGTCTAGATTTCATATCCTGGCAACTGCTCTACAATTTGCTTACATTCTTTTCAAAAACATTTTGTTTATTGGAAGTACTAGTCAAAGACCAACAATGATGGCATTTTTTAGTATCTTCAGAAAAAACTGAAAATATTAAGTACTATAGAATGCCATCTATTGACTAAGGAATATCTGTAACAAGTTGTTTTAAGGAGAGGTTGATTATGTAAAATAAATAAATTTCATGCCTCACCATGTGATGATAATGTGACATTCCATCTGTATCAGCCCACTGAATGGTCATATGTTTTAAATCTTCAGCATAACAAATTTAAAATAATTATGAAAATTCACATCCAAATCTAAAACAAAAAGAACCTTTCATTTCATTATTTTCCTAATAGTCATAAAGCCAGTGTTATTGAAGAAAGCAAAATTAGGCTTATTTCCTAAGTAACTGAAGAAAGAAAGAAGCCTTCCTTTGTTTAAGAAATCTGTGTTTAGCAGAGGAGATCCTCTTTTATTCATATACTCTCATCAAGGCATCCCCTGATTTACCAGGTCCAGTTCTTACGACACTATGCAAATCTCAGTGTGTCTTTTAATTTTATTGTGTATGTTTTAAATTTCTCTTGAATAAGTTATATAAAGCCTTAAGAATCTGTGTCAGATGTCTATTTAAAATACTAGAGTGTTATTTTTACAATTATACTCTTCCTGTAATAAAGACTGTAACTGAAGTTAACTGAAATGAAAAACTAAATATTAGTAGAACTAAAAGACCAATTAGAAGAGGCAATGATAGCATAAATACTGAAATTCTCATGGTATTGTCTGCTTTAACTATTCCAGGAAAATTTTGTAAGAATCTGAAAGACCAAAAAACAAACAAACAAAAACCAAAAAAACCCCACCAAAAACCCAGAAGAATCTGAAGGACATTCTTTTGATAGTGAAACAAGTAATTGGCTTATTCTCATTTTCATAATTAATAAATCCTATACATATTATAGGGATGATTTTTATTTTACTTATTTTCTAATATTATGAGAAACTCCCAAAACATTTTAAAATTTAAACAATTCTGTGTAATAGCATAGTAAAAATAAATAAATAAATAAACAAATAAATAAATAAAAGAAAGTGGAAATTTCAAGGCCAGAATAAGGCAGAATAAGGAACATATAAAGCAAACTAGTTTGAGATGTCAAAAGAATTAGCAAAATCCTCTTAAAATGAATGTATGAGCAGAAAAGGGTAAAAGCTGTTAGCTTACTAAAAAAATTTACGTGTGTGTGAACGTTTGTGTGTGTACACAATCATTAACCAAAAATAAAAAACCAAACAAAAAACCCTGAAAACTAATATGTATGTTAGGAACCAGAGAAAGAGGTAGGAAAAGCACTCAGGATATAGCTCAAACTCAAATTACAACAAAAATAAGCTTTAATCTATTTTTTAGGCAATATGAATTTCCCAAAATTAGTAGAAAACCTAATGAAGTTTTTAAAACCTTGGGAAATATAAAGAGCTAATGTAGCTCCTGCCAAGAAACAGAATTGGATGATGACTATATAGAATACACATTAATATATAACATACTTATATAGATACTATGTATTATATATTTTTAAACTGAGTTTTCATTTAAATCAATGATTATTAGAAATTTACAAACATGGTTTAGTCATACAGTCTCCTCTATGCAGGAACTCAGTCCTTTGGGAAAATCTGGTAATGGGCAAGTCAGCCTTAATGCCTAAAATAATAGAAAAGAGTTTTAAGGCTGATCATGCATAAACACACAATGAATTCATGTATTTTAGATGGCCAGAAGGAAATGAAAAAAGTATCCCCTGGAAGGAAAAATATTTTAATAAAATATAAATTTAAACAAATTTTTTACATTATTAGCATTGACAGTTCACTTATTTATTCCAGAGTTTTCCGCTTCCTTATTTCTCAAAGCTGTTTGCAAAAGTCAACTATGTTAAGCCTAATTCTAATTAGTTCTAGGAAGTTACAGATTTTTAAAGAAATCACACTATTGGTATAGAGTATGTAGAAGCAAGATTTCTTCCAATTGGGAAATAATAAACATTTTGCTTTCCTACTGTGATCCTTTAAAACTTGTCAAGTTAGGAGAGATTGAAACCACTGAAACCCAGTTACCCATTCTAATCAAGTTACACAACTAAAGTAAGACACAAGAGGCCAGGCGTGTTGGCTCATGCCTGTAATCCCACTTCACTAATCATCACTTCAGCCTGGGTGACAGGGTACAATCTTGTCTCTAAATTTTTCTTTTCTCTTTTTCTTTTTTTTTTTTTAAAGAAGAGATCCCAAGCCATTTCCAAGAAAGAGCTACCTTTCATGTTCTTAAATTCTTGGCATCACAGTAGATGTTAGTTGTTCAACTGAAAAGCTCAGGAAGTCTATTCAGCTCCCTTCCCACATGAACTTTGGAGGAGTCTTGCCATGGCTGCAGCCCTGCCATGACCCAGCTGGCCTTTAGATCTGACTGCCTGGCAATCCCAGCACTTCCCATTGCCAACCCATCACTGGCTTATTAAAGGTTCTAAACCCAGGCTAACATACCAGATTGGCTGAAGCAGTTTCAATTATGTGCCACGTTTGAGTCTGAAAGCTGGGATGATTGGATGATTTCATTTGTTTTAGGAAGGGACAACAAAGAATAATGAAAAGACCAGAGTTTTTGAGGCCAGACTGGTCTTTGCTTGGAATCCTTGCTGTGTTACCTAAGTAGAAGTCTTGGGCAAGTTACTTAATACTTTTTGTATCTTCGTTCCTTGTCTATAATGACAATGATAATACAGTGTAGCTATCTTTCCACAATGCTGTAAAGATCTGCTGATCCTAGTATTGAGAATATAGTAATTATAGGTACTCAATAAATGGCAGTCATCGGTATTTAAAAGTGGTAGGCTAAAAACACGGCCGCCCATTTTAAGGCCTAATTCCACCTGCAGAAATTGCTAAATGGCATTCATGTAGGTACTATTAATCACTCTTACATTAGCCTAAAGGTTTTAGTATTTTACAGTTCATGATTACTTTGCTTATTGAGGTGTGAAGGTATGAATGTGTACTTCCTATGGAAACTTAAACACTGTTTATTTAGTTTTCCATACTGTGAAATGATCAGAGGCATAAGAGTTCATAGTAGAACAAAGCACATTAATGATCTGAAAGTTTCCAGAATACTGGTTAGAAAGTAACTTTTAATGGTTCTAGTGCAACACTAAAAACTGCAGTATATTAATGCATTGTTGCTCATATTCGTCTGTATTCTCAAAAATAAATTTTAATAAAAAGACAAAATTTAAATCTTAGGTTGAAGATTGCATTTCAAAAGACATTTAAAAAGTTCAATCAGAGAAGTTGATCTCATCAGGTATCATCTGCTAAATGCAATATAAAGCTTTTCAAATGAGATTCATGATCTTTTAAAAGAACACACTTCAGAACAGGGATCTCTGAGGAAAAAAGAAAATCACTAAAAAGGACTCATGATGATTAGTTTTAATTGGCAAAATGGGATGAAAGCATCTTTTTATGTAATAAACTAAAACACAACTACTTACGTTTGTGAGGAAGTCCTGAACTCCTTTCAAACAGTTTTTGTTTAATTACTTTTGTCACTAAAAGAAGTAAAAATCCCATGTCAAGAATTAACATAGAATATGGAGAATTTCTCATTACTTGGAACAAACAACTTCATGAGAAAAAAAAAATCCAAAATAATACATATTTATAAGTACCAAGTATAAAATATAATACCTTATTATATATTATAAAAATGGGCATTACATTTGAAATACCTGCTACCAGTTTCCAAGGTGCATTCTTTTCATTCACATTCAAGAAGAATCCCCAAAATAACACATCCTGATAAAAGACATGTGGCTTCTTATTTAAAGGTAATAGTATTTTTATCACATGTCCAGTAATGGTATATATAAAGAAATCTATCAAATTTAAATTTGAAACAAATTAATAGGTTTATCTTTAAAATTATTGTCATTGAAAACTCATAAATTCTTACTTAGTTCTTTGGTTTTCTGCATTTCTTTTTTTAAGAAACGTGATGCACAGGAGATTCCAATGAGATTTTCAAGCTCTCTACTGCCCTCCAAAGCCTACAAGAAAGCCATCTTGAATGAGTTAAGTTCTCTATACATATGACATTACTGACATGTCTAGTGAAAATACAGTATATTATTTCCTTCATTTGAAAAACTTAAACTCTATGTTAGGATATTTAACTTTTTCTGGCAGGCCAACTATTTGAAGCCCTAAAATGCCTGAATAAAAACAATTTATAATTAACTAAAAAGACGAAACATAATCTACAAATTTATATTTAAATATGAAAAGCCAGATATGACTAAAATATTACGGTTAAATAGTGTTCTCCTATTAAAAAATTCCCATGAAAAGTAAATTAAACATACTCTGTGCAAACTCTTTCCTGGATTGGATTCTCCAATCTGGGACACTCCTTCCTTTTATCCTTTTCAAACAGGGTAGAAGTATGAAAAAATACAAACCCGTATACTACTTAAATTTTGCATTATCGCCATGATTTCTTCTGACAATTTCTCAACTTTAGATAGCAACATCATCAATCTAGTAAAAAAGAAAAAGATAGCACTTAGCAAGGGGAAGCATTTAAACATGGCAAGTCATTTTCAAAGCTTTAACTCTTTTTAAAGGACCTTTGACTTAGGTTCTTTCATTCTTTATAAACACAATATATATATTATCAACTGTCCCCTCTTTTGGAGTTTAATTTCCGATTCACACTGAGCAGTGGAATGGAAGACATAGTTGGCTGTTCCCTTCTCCACAATGCCACAATGAGAACACTAATACACCACCATTCCTTCATTTACCTTGATTGAGTCTATGAATCAGTATCACCTAGTAACTTTTTTAAAAATAAAGTTTCATGACTTTATTTTAAATTTGAAAATAAAGAAAAGGAAAAGAGGAAAACATCACTTGGAATTCAGTCTTCTGAACCTACCTCCAGTTATCTTTTTGGAAAAATTCTCCTAGTTTAAAAAAAAAAATTGTGTAACTTTGTTATCATGCTTTTTTTTTTCTTTTTATAAAGAAATGGGGTTTACCTCTGTTGCCCAGGCTGAAGTGCAGTGGTATGATCATGGCTCACTGCAGCCTCAACCTCCTGGATTCAATAGATCCTCTTACCTTGTCCTCCCAAAGCACTGTGATTACAGGTGTGAGCCATGGTGTCTGGTTGTGCTTTCTTTACTTAATATAACATTATATACATTTTGGGGGGCCACATATTAAAGGCTGCACAATATTCTATTTAGTAAACATACTAAAAGTGATTTAACTATTCCCTTACTGTTAAAATTTTAGTTTCTTTTCAAATTTTAAGACCCCATAGCTGTTTGTGATAATCTATATCAACACAGTCTGATAGAAAAATAATGTAAGCCATGTATGTAACTTAAAATTTTTAGTAGCCACATTAAAAGGAATAAAAAAGGTAAACTTTAATAATTTTAATAATGTTTAAATATTTAACTCAATATATTCAAATATTATTTCAACATATAATGAATATAAAAATTGAGATATTTTATACTTTTTTCTAATCCAGGTATACTTTACATATTAACAGCACACCTCATTTCATACTAGCCATATTTCAAGTGCTCATTAGCCATGTATGGCTAGTGAGTACTGTTTCAAACAGCATAAATCCATATAGATTTTATGAGAGAAACCAGAAATTCTATTTAAATGCTTTTTCAAGATTACATCAGTGTCATTCATTGACATTTTTGTGCTATTAAAAATAAGACAAATATGTTAAAATTTTGATATATAATGTGTATGTACAGTAAGTTTCAATTAAGTAAAATGTTATCTAAGTATGCAAACAAGAAATGGAGAGTTGATAACATTATTCAAAAGCTAAAAATTATGAGGACAGTGGAATTTTGGGTGAATTCTTTTCTTTAAAAGTTTTCCTTTATTATGTATTTTCAATCAGAAGTCATCTGTCTGAGGCCCTGACTGCTTAACAGGAGAATCTCAGTTTGAGAGATGGTATCATAAAGGAATTCCTTTTCCTTCAAATTGGATCCAAAGACCTGAAGAAACAAGGACTTAAGGGACTCCCACCCAGGCTGGATCCTCTAGCTTCTCACATATGATGCCAAAGCCTACTGAGTACCACAGGAGTACAAAGTAGCGGCAAATTAAGTTACTTTGCTATAAGAAGGAATCTGAGGGCTTATTGCCTTGTAACTTGCATCCCTTTCCTGGGAGAACTGAAATAGCAGAGCCTTTTCAAACTGACTTCTATATCTTAAAGAGTTGATGGTACTCCCTGTTCACCTATAGGGAATTGTGTGGGAATGCTGTGGCAGGGCTGCCATCTTGAATGTCTCCGAGTGGCTCTGTTTACATAGAGTTAGATGTAAATCGTGCCCCCAAAAGTTGTATAATGTAGCATCCCCAAAGGACCTACTAGCAGCTCTCCTACATTAAGATAGTAATTGAGGGGCTAAGCTAAAACAAACTGTTTCAACAATCTTGGAGACTTGTATGGATTAAATATCAATTATCTGGGGAAGTTGTTTTCAAAACATCTTTGATATGCTGAAGGTGCTTTCTCAAGGACACTTGTATCCATTGCAGGATCAAGTAGACTAGTAGACATGCCATTGCTCTTCTCATTATTATTCTGATTCCCTTTCCTCTCCTCCTCCTTTTTCTTCTCCCTAGACGAAATCACCTCTTTTTCCCACATTGAAGGCAACCAAATCCCCATGAATGGTTTTTTTAAGTGTTATACAACTGTTAAATCCTGAAAAATCCTTTTTTTTCAAGGCATTATTTTCCACATCTTCTGAGTCACTGAAGAAGCCTTCATAATCTTTGGAGATAAACTATTTGCTGAGCAGATTTTGGGAGAAATAATTCTACCACTTTCTTCATCCTAGACAAAATGGAATTCTCATAAACATCCTACTTGTGCTGAAAAGTAGATTTGCATTGCTATTGAGAGCCCTTTTCTGTATTTTCAATGCATGGTTCAAATTCCACTTTGTTGCCCTAACATAGCATTATGGTTTGTGTACAGTCCCTTAGTTTTTAACATCATCTTGATGTTCCTTTACTAATTTATGTATTCCTGAAAACTAACAATCTTTCATTTTTTTCAAGCTGCCTGAAGAATATATTTCTCAAGTTCATTATGAAATTACAAAATTTCAAAGTTATTGTGGCTCTTTCAAGTTAGTGAGTAAAAGTATCATCACTGGTGCCATTCATATTTTACAGAATACTATTTTTTTCTCAAATAGATTTGCCTCTGACTAGATTAAATTGGACCAAATCCTTTTTTTTTTTTTTTTTTTTTGAGACGGAGTCTTGCTCTCTCACCCAGGCTGGAGTGCAGTGGCGCAATCTCGGCACACTGCAAGCTCCACCTCCTGGGTTCATGTCATTCTCCTGCCTCAGCTTCTGGAGTAGCTGGGACTACAGATGCACGCGCCACACCAGCTACACATTTTTTCGTAGTTTTAAGTAGAGACTAGTTTCACCCGTGTTAGCCAGGATGGCTTGATGTCCTGACCTTGGATCTCCGCCTCTCCTTCCCGACAGTGCTGGGACCTTAGCACGACGTGAAGCCACGCTGCGCCCAAATCCTTTATCTTATAATATCCTTTTGAGCCATCCCAGATGTGCAATGGGCCACTACATCCAGATATCAGCTACTGTCCCAGTTATGGCAGCCACTTACACCAGATTTAACTCAAATCTCCATTGCGTGGTCCAAAGACTACCTGGCTACGCACAACCTGAAGAAATCTCATCCTTTGGGTCTTGCCTTGAATTACCTTTCCTTTGTCATCACTCAAAAACCCAAGCACAGAAGCGAAACCTCCTCCTCCTGTAGAACTACCACCTCTGGCACAGCGGCACAGTAAACAACAACAAACAAAGCCAACAAGTCAGCAGAAACCTCTCGCAGTACGCAACCCGACTCTGCTCGAACAGCTTTGCAGAGAGGCAGTGCGATCTCCCAACACGAGGCTTGAGATCTGAGAAGGGACAGACTGCCCTGCGCTCAATATGGGGTCCTGCACCCTGAGTACAGGCTCCTAAACTGGAGACACCCCCGCCACTAGCCGGCAGCCTGACACCCCCACCACCTCACAGGGTCTGGAGTACACCGCCTGAGAGGAACGCCTCCAAAGC